GGGACAGCCTGGAGGGGCTGCTGGGCAGAGAGGCGGCTTCTCATCCCGGCTGCCTCATCCCGGCTGCCTCATCCCGGCTGCCGCATCCCGGCTGCCTCATCCCGGCTGCCGCATCCCGGCTGCCGCATCCCGCTGCACTGAGAGGGATGCTCAGAGCCCGACGTGCTCGCAGGCACCCTGTGCAGCGGGACCCCATCCCGCGGGGGCGGGGGGCGGCGGGGACAGGCGCTGCGGGGCGGCGGAGCAGGCTCTGGAGTCCCGGAGGGGCTCCCGGGGGGTACCTGTGCTCCCCTGAACACCGTCGGTGGGGTGGGGGGCTGCCGTGGCCCCGCTCTCACCGACACGTGTCGCTCCCCCCTCCCCACGCAGGTTTGGTTCAAGAACCGCCGAGCCAAGTGGAGAAAGCGGGAGCGGAACCAGCAGATGGACCTGTGCAAGAACGGCTACGTGCCCCAGTTCAGCGGGCTGATGCAGCCCTACGATGACATGTACGCCGGCTACCCCTACAACAACTGGGCCACCAAAAGCCTCACCCCGGCGCCGCTCTCCACCAAGAGCTTCACCTTCTTCAACTCCATGAGCCCCCTCTCCTCGCAGTCCATGTTCTCGGCGCCCAGCAGCATCCCCTCCATGAACATGCCCTCCAGTATGGGCCACTCGGCCGTGCCGGGCATGGCCAACTCCGGCCTCAACAACATCAACAACATCAGCGGCTCCTCGCTCAACTCGGCCATGTCCTCGCCGGCCTGTCCCTACGGGCCACCGGGCTCGCCCTACAGCGTCTACCGGGACACTTGCAACTCCAGCTTAGCCAGCCTCAGACTGAAATCAAAGCAGCACTCGAGTTTCGGCTACAGCAGTTTGCAAAGCCCCGGCTCTAGTTTAAACGCCTGTCAGTACAACAGTTGACGGACTTGACACAAACCACCTCCGACAAAGCACCGCCGACAAAGCGAAGCAGAAGCAAAGCTACGTTTAACAAAAAAAAAAAGAAAAAAAAAATTAAACCTGATGATAATTAAAAGCAAAACCCTAGCAAGTGAGAAAGGGGAAAAAAATAAAATAAACCACGCACTCACACTCCCCCCCCCCCCAAAAAAAAAAAGCCCCAAAAACTCCGCGGACTTCGACTGTCTAGAAAACAAAAATAATAAAAAAAAATAAGGCAAAACAACGATGCAACCAACAAAACAGCGCTTTAAAAATCTTTTTTAACAAAAAGAATTTAAAAAATAATAACCCCATCTAAAACCGTAAACGGACCAGAAAACTTTTGCAAGGGACACCGAAATTTGGTACATGGATGAGTTGCAATTTTTTTTTCTCTGGATTATGCGGGTTGTATGTGTTTACTTGAACTTGCACAGGAGCCGGCAGGGCGGCCGCTGCCCCGCGGGGAGGGCGGCAGGAGGGGACGCCTCGGTGGTAAGAGCTGGTGGGACCGTTCTTGTCGCACGGGAAGAGTTTGGTTAATGTTTACCACTGAGAAACAGAATCACACTCGGAAACAAACAAAAAAAAAAAAAAAAAAAGGTTGGGGGAAGAGGGGAGGGAAAAAAAAAACCCCAAATCGCAGAGTAGAATCTGCAGGGGAAAAATGGTTGAAATATTAGGTATGAAACTATTAAAATAATAATGACAAGGGTCAACCACTTATAGAAGGTTATATTTATATCTACCGTTGCATTGTGCCGGATCATTGTCCTTGGCCGTTGAATAAACTGTTTTTAAAATGCATGATTCTTGATGTTTTTTCTTTAGTTGGAAGCTCTAATCCAGTCATTCCTGATACTAAACAGCTCAAGGTTCCTACCTCTTCATCCTTTCCAAAAGACTGCAGTATCCCCGGTTGTGAGAGAGCACAGAAACCCTTCAGCAATGCAAAAACTGTTCATTTTTTTCCCCATCCAAAGTCTTATCCTGATAATGAAATTATCATTCATCTTCATTTAAATGCAGGGGGTGTTTTTTCTCTTTGAAAAGTAAAACCGAAAACCAACTCCCGTTTATAAAGTCTCGGAAAAAAGACGAAAAATTGCTTGTTATGAAGTGATTTCAGATACTGCCTGTCTGCTAGAGAAACAGCGAGCCTCGGCGTCCGGAAAGGTTCTTAGCAAAGCTGAAAGCATTCCTTGCTTTTGTAAATGTGAAGGAAAAACAAGGAACCAAAAAAAAAATTCTTAAGGTGTTATTATCTTAAGGTGTTATTATGTAAATATAGATACTTTTACAAGTGCTTGTTGGAAAAAAAAAAAACCATCAAACAAAACATGGAAATTATAAATATGATTTTTATTAATACGCATACAAAAGGCATATGAAGTTTAATTGCAGGCATATTTGTTGCTTATTTTTGTCGATACTTATTACCTGTAGATGACAAAGAGACATAAAATGCACACGGTACTTCTTTCCCAGTGTATTTCACACCTGTGGTAAACGTTACGCTGGATGTTTCAGTTATGCTGTTGTGGATAAGGATGCAGTATATATATTGTTTTATAAGTTATGTTTTGTGATTTTATTTTATTTTTTTTTTCAAAATTAAGAGCATGGGAATAAAAAAGAAAACTTTAAAAAAAAAAAAAAAAAAACTAAACCGAAACGAAATCTAGAAATGCTTTTAATGTTCTTTTCTGGCTGTGTTTAAGAGAGCGACTAAACAAGAAGAAAAGCAACGTTCTGTCCCCAGCCCGGTGGTGGCATTTTGGGGATCCCCCGTTTCCCCCGGTGCTTGCGCCGTCTCTCCGTGTCCCCCCAGCATCCCGAGAGGGAAAAGCCCCGTTCTCTGTCCCCGCTCCCCGGGGCAACCCTGGCAGGGGAAACCCTCCCCAGGCCCAATTTTATGGCAGACTGATACCGCTGTTTGCCGGAACTGGAGACCCAGCCCTCCTTGCCGCTGCATTGCTGCATCCCACCAAATCCCAGTGCTCCGAGCCGTGGCTCGGGTTTTTTCCTCCCCCAAAAGTTCATCCCCGCAGCCTGGAGCGGGGCTGGGCTGCAGCCCTGGCGCTGCTCCTTCTCCCGCAGCCGCTCGTCCCCTTTCGCTAAGGTGCGTTTTTCCCTAGTTTCTCCAAATTCCCCGATATTCTGATTTTTAAACGTTGTTCGATTAATTCTCCCTCTCCTTTAAGTTTTTTACAAGCATAAACCGCTCTGATTTCATCGATATTTATTTACTATTTGATGACTATTTATTAACCATTGCGATTACTATTAATGTTTTGCCCCAAATGCCATCACTGATGGAAGGAATGGATGAGATAGGCGGGGCCGGGGCAGGAGTAGCTGTCTCCAGGGCTCTCTCCCGGCTGTTTGAGGGGCCGTGGATGGCGGAGCTCCCCGAGGAGTGCACTTCTCTGTGCCCCGGCAGCTCCAGCTCCCGTCCCCAGGCTGAGGGGCTGCAGCGGGGCTTTGTTCTCAACACGGGGGAGAACAGAGAGCAGAGCCTCCCCGGCCACTCCATCCCTCACTAGAGCCGCCGGAGTGTCACCAGAGCAGCACAAGGACTGGTTTTCCCCCAGTTTCCAGGCGGGAGGGGATCTGCCAGCCCTCCGCTGGGATTTTGGCCAGGATTTTAGGTGTTCTTTTTCTCCTGTTCCTGGAGGTAGCACCATTAGTCCTAAATCAGAGCAGCGGCGCTCACGTTTTGCCAAACCCTGCCCCAGGTTTCAGTTGTTGTCGGAGCCCTGAACCACCCAGCCCCTCCCGAAACTGTCTGCAGGAAAGAGCTGGGGGAGCAGGGACACAGCTTTCTGTGCTGCTGTCCCCCACCAGTGTCCCCCCGCCCTGGGACCGCATCACGGAAAGCTGATCTGCTGCTGATGGTCGACATTTGGGCATCTTGACACATTTATGGCTCAGGGAAAGGAAAATTCCAAGGAGACACGGAGCAGAAAGCAGCTCCTTCACCTTCCCTGTGCACTTTTACGGATGCCCTGCTTCCAGCAGCCTTTGGGTCTCCCCCACAATGGTTAGAGCTTGAATTATTGGGGTATTCGGGGTGTCTGAGGCACGGCTTTGGACTGCCTTGCCGGAGCACATTTTCCTGAGCGCTGTGCCTTTGGAGGTGCCCAGGTGTGTGCCCAGGCTGGGGGCAGCCGAGGCAGGCTGTCATTTAATGGTTCATTAGTCTCCAAAGCCCCACGGGGGGGACGCCCGGTATAAAACCCTGCTCACCACCACCCTTCTCACTCTGGTTTTTGAACTCCCCTTGCCGGCGTCTGGCTGGTGGGTGTTTCCTCACACCGGAGGCGATGGTTTTCCATCCCTCGCCCTGCACATTCCTCCCGGTGGTTTCCAGCGCGTGAAGCTCAGGCTGGAATTCCTGGAGCTGCATCACTTCCATCCCGCGTGGCTCCATCCCGGTGGGACCCAGCCTCCTGCCTGCCGACTGCAGCCTTTGTCAAGGCAAGCAGATCCTCGGAGCCAGAGAAATACCGGAATCGAGTTTTCCATTTGTTCTGGGTGCGCTGGTTTACCTATTAGCGTTTCCAAAGCAAAGCTGCCTGGGGAGAGCTTTGCTCGGGAATGCTGTGCGGTCCTGAGAGGTCCCAGCCCAGGAGCTCCACCACACCAGATGAAGTTCACAAATACCTTGTGCCTCAGTCTGCGCAGTCCGTTCAAGCTTAAATGTCTTCTAATAAAAAGCTGTGGTCAGTTTAATTCTGAATTGCATACTTCTTTTTATCTGTGGCCTGGAACTCAGCAAACTATGCAAAATCCCATTTAAATTAATGGGATGCTTCAGTACCGATTTTAATGGGGTTTTGTATAATAAAAATAACACCTAGAAATGCCCTAACATTTTGCTACGATCTTGCAACAAAAGTCAGTGGAACTGGGATAATAAAAATACAGGTTTTATATGAAACCTATGAAGGGTTTGTCATTAACTCCAGCGGCACAGTTTCAGGCCTTATTATTTTAGTATATGCTTGTATAAGTAAAAATTACCTTATCAATTAAATGAGAATCTGTGACTTTTCTGTTTCAGTCTGGCAACTTGTATGTGAAATATTTAGTTTGATGTTATCAAGACACCCAATATATACAACTTATAAACCAGCCCATATACAAAGACTGAGAACAAACAAAAATACAAAACTACGCATTGTTTTTGCTCAGCTTGCCCATCAAACAAAGCTGAGTTGTTATTCCTAAGAAAATACTTCATATCCCTCCTTTAATCTATCCAAGAGAACAGTTCTCTGCTCAGCCTCATAGAAAACAGTAAAAACCTCCTTCAAAGTAAAATATATTTTAATTAACAGAGCTGCAAAATAAAATCCACAGCTATAGAGCAAGCCTCCTCTGCAGCTCACCATTGTGTGAACTGCTTGGGCAAGCTGCTCTTATTAACAAGCTACAGGCTACACTCTGTTCCAAACTGATTAAGCAGTAGGGCTGCAGGCAGATTTTCTATCAAAAATGTTTCAATGGCAGCCAGCCTGTTCTTCTGCAGAACGATGGGTTTTTTTACAGGAAAAAATAATTTGTTTATCCCCAACTCCAATTTCTTTAATGAAGAAAGCATATGCGCAAAAATTTTATTTACCAAATAACTTCACAACAAATAAAAATTCTCATAGGAAATAAAAGAAGAAAAATGAAAGAACATATGTATTTGATTTTTTTTCCCCCCTTCTTCACTCAAGTAATTTCTTGCAGAAAGCCAGGTAACAATGTTCAGTCTCTGCTAGAGACAAGGAAATTTGCTCAGGATTCTTCCCAGGAGATCAGTGGAGCTGAGTGAAGGCTGGTGCCCGGGGCAAACCCCAGCGATGTAAATGAGCCCAGAACCAGCTCCTCCCGACACTTCTGCTGATGCAGCCCTACAATGCATGGCAGCCTGCAATTCCTGCCTGGAATAACATGTAAAACACCACTCGCTCCGGGTTGCTAATTCAAGAGCAGCTTCAGACCTCCCCTGTCACAAAAAACCCCCAGAAAACCTACGTGTTAATATGCAAAAAACCAAAAA